TTTTTTTTTTTTTGAGAGAGAGAGATTGAGAGGAGGTGGGGGGAAGGGGCAGAGGAAGAGGGAGAGAATCTTAAGCAGGCTCCACACCCAGTGGGGAGCCCACGTGGCTCGATTTCAAGACCCTAAAATCATGACCTGACCTGACACCAAGAGACGGACACTTACCTGAGCCACTCAGGCGCCCCCCTCTGGAATCTTTTGAGTGTGGTGCTGTGTCCCATGAGAGGTGCACCAGCAAGAGAACACATGAGCTCCTCACCTGAAGGTTCAAGGCATAGAAAGGATGTAGGATTTCAGTTACTGAGATACTATGTGAAGCCGGGATACCTTAATGTTGAGCCACAGAATATAAAATTAGAACATAGATATTTCCTGATTTGGGTTTTGGGTACTGAGCCTGGAATTAAGGTTCCTAGTCCCCAAATCTGAAAAGGGTGCCAAGAACTGGGAAGTAGCCCATTCCATGCATAGCATTTTTCTTACAAAGTAGGGCACTTGTTGGCCCTTCTTGGGCCCACCGAACAGAAGCTAAGGAAACTTCAGAATGAGGGTCCCTCACTTGAATAGCTCCATTTGAAGGCCCACCCTGCTTTCCTCAATGGACAAAAGAAGGAAGCAGTAACCTCAGGTACTGGGAAGCCAGGGAGTACTGCCCTAGCCTGGAGGCCTGGTCTCATCCTTGGAGGCAGTCTTGAGTGAAGGCCAGCACTACCTCCATATCCACCAGCCTTCAGTGATGATCCAGATTTATCTTTGCTAAAGGAGAAAGCTAAAGGAGCCACTGCTTGGGAACCACTATGACCCAGACTTTGCTCACTGACCTAGGACCAACCTGGAAGAGGAAGGGGTTGGGGAGTGGGGAAGGAGCAGGTATTTCAAGGACTTGGCTGAACTGGACCTGGGACAGTGTGGAGGGAGATCAAAGCGTTGGAACCCCAAGCCTTGCCCTTATATGAGATGCCACCAGGGAAAGACACTGTAGAGGAAGTTAGAGACATGGAATCACCAATGTAGATGAGAAGCTGAAAGAAAAAACTTTTTTTTTTTTTAAGATTTTATTTATTTGCGAGAGAGAGAATGAGAGACAGAGAGCATGAGAGGGATGAGGGTCAGAGGGAGAAGCAGACTCCCTGCCGAGCAGGGAGCCCGATGCTGGACTCGATCCCGGGACTCCAGGATCATGACCTGAGCCGAAGGCAGTCGCTTAACCAACTGAGCCACCCAGGCGCCCAGAAAAAACTTTATAATAATAAAAAATTTCAGTCAACCATGTTAGAGGAAAGACTGAATTGTTTTTTCATTCTCTATAGAAACTGGTATTATATAAAAGTCTTATAAATAAGAATCTTTATATACTCTTTATAAGATCAAAGTGTATGCAACCAAAGAGTAGGGGAGAAGGGTATCAAGGGTCTGTCACATTTAATTTTTTTCCTGGATTTTGTGATGTTTGTGGTATTTATCGACTTTTAAAATATTGTACTTTGGGGGCACCTGGGTGGCTCAGTTGGTTGGGCGACTGCCTTCGGCTCAGGTCATGATCCTGGAGTCCCTGGATCGAGTCCTGCATCGGGCTCCCTGCTCAGCAAGGAACCTGCTTCTCCCTCTGACCCTCCCCCCTCTCATGTGCTCTCTCTCTCGTTCTCTCTGTCTCAAATAAATTTAAAAAAATAAAAATAAAAAAAATAAAATATTGTACTTTGCTGTGATTTCTTTTCTCATTCCAAATACTCACTTTTGTACTTAGAGTCATATTGTTTTGTATCTTTTTAAAAGAGGTCCCCCAATACCCAAAAGAATTGAAAGCAGGGACTACAAGAGATACTTGCATGCCCATGTTCACAGCAGCATTATGCACAGTAGCCAAATGTAGAAATAATCCAAGTATCAATCAACAGATGAATAAACAAAATGTGGTATACACACAATGGGATATTATTCAGCCTTAAAAAGGAATGAAATTCTAATACATTACAATGTGGGTTAACTTTGAAAAAGTGCTAAGTGAAATACTCCAGACTCAAAACGACAAATACCGTATGGCTCCACCTATAGAAGGTACCTGGAATGGACAGATCCATAGAGACAAAATGTAGAAGAACAGTCATCAGGAGCTGGGGGAGGGCAATGGGGAATTAGTGATCAGTGAGTATGGAGTTTCTATCTGGGATAATGAAAAAGTTCTGGAAATATGTAATGGTGATTTTTGCACAACGTGAATGTACTTAATGCCACTGAATTATACACTTCAAACGGCTAAAATGTTTTGTGGTATATATATAACCACAATTTTAAAAAGGGGCGTGCTCCCTAAAGTTGTATAAACCTGAGCCCCATAAAATTTGGATCTGTCCCTACCAATGAAATAAGCAATTCCAAAGTAATACAGTATAACATCCTATAATGAGAATCACATATTCAGTACCAGAAGGGTTAAGTTTTTTTACTTAATAAAAGAGATTCATTTAACTATTGTAAACTGGGTTGTTGCTTTCCAGAACTCTTAAATGATAAATCATAAGCATCAGGTTCCAGATTTCCTATACAAAGACCACTCAGAAACTGGAAAGATGGCTGACTCTTAATGTTCTTTATTTTTTTTAGTTTTTAAAGAATTTATTTATTTATTTGAGAGAGAGAGACAATGAGAGAGGGAACACAAGCAGGGGGAGTGGGAGAGGGAGAAGCAGGCTTCCTGCAGAGCAGGGAGCCTGATGCGGGGCTCGATCCCAGGACCCTGGGACCATGACCTGAGCGGAAGGCAGACGCTTAACCGACTGAGCCACCCAGGTGCCCCATTCTTAATGTTCTTTAAAGTTGCCTGGGAGAGGGGTGACTGGGTGGCTCAGTTGATAAGCATCTGCCCTGGCTCAGGTCATGATTCCAGGGTCCTGGGATCGGGCTCCCTGTTCAGAGGGGAGCCTGCTTCTCCCTCTCCTGCTCCCCCTGCTTGTGTTCCCTCTCTCACGTCTTTCTCTGTCAAATAAATAAAATCTTAAAAAAAAAAAAAGTTGCCTGGGAGAGAATGGCTGTGGTTTAGACGTTATTTTAGAAACAGAAGCTCTGGGGCCCCGGGGTGGCTCAGTCGTTGGGCGTCTACCTTCGGCTCAGCTCATGGTCCCAGGGTCCTGGGATAGAGCCCCACATCGGGCTCCCTGCTCTGCGGGAAGCCTGCTTCTCTCTCTCCCACTCCCCCTGCTTGTGTTCCCTCTCTCGCTGTCTTTCTCTGTCAGATAAAGAAAATCTTAAAAAAAAAAAAAAAAAGAAATAGAGGCTCAGAATCCCTAGGCCCTCTATCCTATCCTGCAACTCAATAAATTCTTTTGGTGGTTCCTCTTGTATAAAAACAGTAAAGTGTATTCTATAGAGAAGTGGAAGATGTTAAGAGAGGTTCATGGTATATATGGAGTACAGGTTTTTATACCATAAATAATAAGGAAATCATGGGTAGGATCCTGAAACCATCTTTCTGCAAGTCTTGGAGATTTAGTATTTCCAATGAAAATTCTTACTAAATTTATAATCAGCTTTTACCAGGAATCTAAATTGGACTTTAAAATACACAAAAAGCAATGCTTTCCTGCCCTACTGGTTCCATTACTTTCATATCCTTGCTTCTAATAAGCAGATAAAAACCAAAAAGATCATAGAAAGTTGTGCCTCAATTTCCCATAAACCGTAATTGAAAATTTAACACACTGTTTTATTACCAAGAAGGAAATTAAGTAGCACCTATAAATTTTTAATATAAAACTACCCAGAAGTTTTAGTAGTAAACCAAATGAACATTTAACCAAGACTTACTGGATTACTTTTTAAAGTCTATTACGTGTCCCATTGGGTAACTAGAATTCCTCTTTGAAGACTCAGATTGGTGCAAATAATATAGTTATAGGGCATGGAACTTAAAAAAAAAAAAACCCTTCCTTCAGGGCACCTGGGTGGCTCAGTGGATTAAGTGTCTGCCTTTGGCTCAGGTCATGAGCTTAACTGTATGGATAGCTAGTTCACTCTTGCAGTAAAAACTTTTCTTCAGAGATACCAGGCCATGCTCCCACGATTCCCTCTGAACATTCTGCTAAACTCATCAGGTTTGGGGAATTCAAACAAACCAGATGACCATCCATCATCCTCAGCCAGCCATAAGGCCTTTTGGCAAAATATCTCTGGAAGTGTTTCACCCCAAATTACCTGGTACTAGGCCTTGCCATGGGAATCACTCCATCTCTGGTAACTTAATGTTTAGTTAAGAAGCTTCAGGAGAAATTCAGGCTGGAGGCATGGGAGTGGAAGGAACAGTGAGAAGACTGAATGGCATAAAGATTTGGCAGATTATATAATGGCAGGACAGGAATTACAAGAGAAGAAAGATTTGCTTTCCAGCCTGATTGAACTGTAGACCAATGACAATATTAGGGAAGTCGGGAAGAATTGGTTTGGCTAAATGTTAACAACATGCCTTGCAAAAACTTACTAATAATATGCCTTAGGTATTACGAAGTATTATAACAGCAAACAAATCTAACTGAGGAGATTTGTTATGTCTCAGTTAAAATGCAGTTGCTTCTACAATGATCTAAGAAAACATTTTTTTTTTTTTAAACATTTTATTTATTTATTTGACAGAGGGAGAGAAAGAGATCACAAGTAGGCAGGCAGGCAGGCAGAGGCAGAGGGAGAAGCAGGCTCCCGGCCACACAGGAGCCCAATGCGGGGCTCGATCCCAGCACCCTGGGATCATGACCTGAGCTGAAGGCAGACACTTAACCGACCGAGCCACCCAGGCGCCCTCTAAGAAAACATTCTTAATTCCATTTAGATTCATGTAAAGGTCTAACTTCAGATGAACTTTCTTGATAGAACAAAAATTCAAGCAACTTTTGAATAACACAGACTGAATTACTCACTGAATGCACATTGACTGTACATAACAATTTAAAGTGAATAACTTAGGTTCAATTTAATATTTCATTAGATAGAGACCAACAAATCACAAAATCTTGTTACTTAAAATATTTTAATTTTGAAAAAAGTTTAAACCATATTAAAATTGAAATAATTTCATTGTACAGTACTTGATAATATAATTCAACAATCTGAAAACTAAAACAAACCACTTAAATCATTTTAATTTACTTTCTAAGCTTAATAATGTACAAACTCTTTTGCCCTCCAGGAGGAAGCAAAAATCAACAGTGAAAATGGAATATTTAAGTTAATACAATATAAGATATTTGGCCAAAGGGATTTTTTTTTAAGTAAGCTCTACCCCCAACGTGGGGCTTAAACTCACAACCCTGAGATCAAGTCACACACTTTACTGGCTGAGCCAGCCAGGCACCCTGGGCCAAAGGGATTTTTAAAACTAAATTTCATCTGGCAATACCCTACAACTACCAGTATGTCTACAGAAGATAGGAATTTAAAACAAAACAAATGCAATCTGATCAAATCCACAATTAACTGACGTTTTCATTTTACCTTTTGTGAATAAAACAGCAGCCATGGTTTTATCCAGTTTACTAAAGGATCACCTTCAGAAGAAGGTGCCCAATCTGCAAAACAAGAACAGTTATCTTCCATTGAAAGGCTGGAAGCTTTTCAGACTTAGTTCTCTTTCATTTGTGTCATAATTTCCAAATAAATCAATGGCTCCAGCTAATGTGGGCCAGTCAAGTTCCCTACATGATCATCTCTTCCATGCAATCATCAAAGAGCCACCTACAAGATTCTTTGGAACACTCTATAGTTTCAAAAAGCTGTTTAAAGTCTTGAGGGTGCAGATCTGTTATTTTCATGTCTCCATTTTTCTCTATTTGCTTCAATATAGCTGTTGCATTAACCGGACTCAATAACCTACAAAAGAAACACAAAGTGAATCTGCTTAATTCCTTTTATAACCGCAGTAAATATTAGTAGAAATGGCTTCTATGCCCAATTTAAAATGTTTAACTTATGGATATATAATTAATCTTATTTGGTTTTAGAGTCTGCATATAATGTATAGCTTTTACTATCATTTCTGAAGTTTCATGGCTTACCTATCATAAAAAGAGCAAATCTGGGCTTTAACATGCACTCATCAATTCTTACACAAAATTCTAGTTTAACATTGCCCTTCAAAAAAATTATGCCTACCTCTTTCATCTGTTAACTCTCTTTGCAAAAACATTCTTAACTCCATTTAGGTCCATGTAATGGTTCAATAAGTACAAACAGTAGAAACTGGCATCCAGCAGATTTCAAAGAGGGAACAGTTTTCATCTTTTTATGTAACAATTACTGGTGAATAAATTATAAAGCAGAAAACTGCCTAATATATTAGCCTAGCAAGAAACCATCAGTGAGCTTCTGACAATAACAACTAAACAAATGTAATGTGCTGGTGGAAACTATTTCCAATACTTTTTGATTTTGAACATAATCCTGGTCACAGGTATAAACATGCTTTCAATTCAGAGATCGCCAGGGGAATTTTAAACATTTTTTCACCACAGTTTACCGTATTTATTGCTTAATTTCCCATATTATTATTATTTTTTAAAGATTTATTTATTTATTTCACAGAGACACAGCGAGAGAGGGAACACAAGCAGGGGGAGTGGGAGAGGGAGAAGCAGGCTTCCCACGGAGCAGGAAGCCCGATGTGGGGCTCGATCCCAGGACCCTGGGATCATGACCCGAGCCAAAGGCAGACGCTTAACGACTGAGCCACCCAAGCACCCCATCTTTTTTTTTTTTTAGATAGGCTCCACACAGAGCTTGAACTCACAACCCTGAGATCAAGACCTGAGCTGAGATTAAGAGTCAGATGCATTCAAAACAGTCACTACCACAAGGTGAAAAGATGAAAAATAGATTACTTCTACTGGTCTACTGCCATGCTTATCATTTATTTTTACACAAGTATAGTTCAATCAACAGCTCATTCAGAGTTTCACCCATTCTCTGACAGGACTTTGAATGACCATGGGCTGCTGATTCCAAGGGGTCATGCATAACTTACAGAGCTGTACCCATCATCCTCATGGAAAAGTTATGTAGATACCAAGGAGGCAGTAACAGCTATAATTTTTATAAAGCTTTAGGTAAAAACTTAAAATTTGGTCCAGGACAGGAGGACTAGGGTGGTAGAATAATCCATGCCTCCTTGGGCTAGGAAATAAAACCATGAGGGATAAGCAGTGAGAAAAGGTAGGTGGTGGGTTTGCCACCACTGATGCTGCTCCCATCCCGGTCACTGGCAAGCAGCTAGTTCTCCACGTAAGTCAATCCTGGACATATACTCTGACAAAGAGGAACTACTGGTAGGCATCCCTAGTTGTTTTTTTCAAAGGAAAAAAAAAATTAAGCTCAGGAGACTATGTGGAAAATTGAATTTTATTTTTCTCAAAATGTGCACTGGGGAAGGAAGTGTTGTGAAGAAAGAGATGAGTGAAAACATGGTACCTCACTCTGTTAATCAAGATATACAAGATCCAGAAAATGGACCGCTAACATGAAAAGCATAATTCTCACATGAAATTGCTACTTTTATACTTGCTTTTATTCTTCTTACTTACTGTAAATGGTCCATTAGCTTGAAATTACGCTTCATAAAACACTGCTTTAACATGTGAAAAAATACATCATAGTTAACAGATGTTAAATTTTCTGTAAATAAATTCGGAAGAGGAGTCAGTTGAATTAAACACATGTTTTGTCCTACTTGTTTATTTATTTGTTCTAATGGTTTCTGGAGAGAGAAAAAGAATAAATTGTGTTAGTCATAAAATACTGCTAGAGCAAGACAGAGTTTGCTTACTCATTCAAGCTAGCTCTTGGAAGGGGCAAACACCACAGATGCCAAGTGGTCCTGTACGTTCTTGCTGGGTGGGCGAAGAATGCAAGGCCCTAACCACTCTTTACCTGGGCAGTTCCTCAGGTTGTCTGCAGCAAGCCACCTTGAGGGATGAGATAATGGCTCCCTCCAGGACAAAGAGGAGCTTGCTTCATGTTTGCTATAAAAGAAGTGGACTCCCCCAGCTCTGTGTTTCTAAGCTGCAGTGCAAGCCCCAGCACGTACACTGTCAACTAAGGAACATCACATTATCCTATGGGACGTGGGGGCAGATAAAGTCCTTTGTCTGATCCAGGAGTCTATCTTAGGGCAGTATCCATGAAAGAGTAACAGCTTATTAACTTTGAAGCAGGGTAAAATCAAATCCCAAACAGGACACTAACATGTACTGAGTTTCTTCTATATTTGAGACACAACACCAGATCCTAAGGATAAAAAAGCATTATTGACTTATAATTTTCCTTTGGATATTTAAAAAAATATGGGGTTACAAACTATGGTCCACAGCCTGCTTGTTTTTGTATAGTCTGGATCTAAAAATGCTTTCTACCTTTGTAAAGGACCGTTTAAAAAATAAAAAAAAGAAGCAAAAACAAAGACTAGGACAGAGACTATTATGTGGTCTGCAAAGCATAAAACATTTGCTGCTTGGCCCTTTACCGAAAAAGTTGGCCAACCTGCTCTAGTATACAATATTCAGATTTTTTTTAAAAAGTACATGCCTTAATGTAAGGTTAAGATGTTTTTTTCCTCTGAAATTATCCCTCGGGAAGCACAGAGGCCTTATGTTTAGTCCTTTGGAAATCTCATATATTAGGTAGTGATCCCTTATTTAACTATACATACACACATACATATATATGTACATACACAAAAATATACATTTTTGAGTATACATACTCTTTGTGGAAGACCTATTGCCTGAAAAAGAAACCTTCAATCAATTCTAGTTTCTAGTTTTGGATGCCTGCAGTTGAAGAAATTAGTCAAAAAAAAAAAAAAAAGGAGGCAATGAAATTCACAAAAATATACATTTTTGAGTATACATACTCTTTGTGGAAGACCTATTGCCTGAAAAAGAAACCTTCAATCAATTCTAGTTTCTAGTTTTGGA